TATCGATCATCTATATTCTTTCCTAGACAGATGTACTTTGATTTCCTGACATTTCTTTAGAATGCAAATATAAATAAATACTATTCCTCTTAGCTCTTCAATACAGAGAGGGCACATGATCTATGTACAGTAGAAAAGTAAATCTCAGACACTACAGAAACTGTCAAGGACAAGCCTTACCATCTCTTTCAGGGATATTTTAAAATGTGGCCAATCATCCTAGAGTTGAGGGAAGCACTTCTGTTACGTTGGTGGTGACGTGACTGAGCTATAGGAGTCCAGGATGATGTAGTGAGAAAGCAAAGTCAATGTGTAGTAGTTTAGAGAGGACATATCCTAGCTAGATTTTCTGAAACAATCTTATGAGACTTTTCCTAAAATATTTTTTGGTAGTCAAATTAAAAGAGCTTTGGCTTATTTCATATTTACTGAGAGTTTTTTTTCGATTGACCTAGTGATTTGGAAGAAGAGTTCTGGAAGTATTCTAAAGAAAAACAGTCCTGAAGCAGTCTCAGTCACTGCTTTATCAAATTGTATGATTTCCCACTATACACTATTGGTTGGTAGAGCTCACAGAGCTGGGGCGAAAAGGAATTAGAAAGTAGGTGTGACAGCACAGCAAATCAAATGCCACTGAGGACATCAGTAGGGAAAGGATCTGAAAGTCACCTCGTACTGTACAGTTTCTGAAATGTGTGTGATAAAGAGAAACTGAGAAGACTGCACCTCCTCCATAGCTCCAATGAGATTCTGGGTGGACTTGCTGATCTCCTCTCCAGCAGGCGGCATGCCACTCCCCGGTGTGAAGAACGCTGTGCTGGGTCCTGGGTGCCCATTCATTTCCACTGTGTAGCTGGCCTTCATGGGGCAACAGGTCTGGTTGTGGAGAATGAAATAAACCACAAAAACGTAAAGTCCCTGTGGAAAAAAGGAACACCAGGAGGTTAAAGGAGTACTGCTGTCCTAGCTGAAGAGTAAACATGGTTATAAGTAAGCATGGCTGCTTTTCCACAGGTGTTCTCCAAATCCTGCCAGAAATTGAAAATTATAAGACCTGGTAGAGGACTAGCAAGAGACCACTGAAACTTCCAAATGTCACAAAACATTTTTTCAACACCATTTGAGAAAGTTGTCCTCCCACTAACAAATCACTGGTTCTCTTGGTTAGAATATAAGTAATTCTGGAATGTCGCTTTATACACACACACACACACACACACACACACACAAATTGCAGAGGTCTGTCTGATCAGCTATCTTTTAGTGCAAACATGTTGCTTTCTAAAAAACCAGTCTTTCGCCATCTATCTCATTTATTCTCCCTTTTTCCCCTTAGCAAAATGGCAGAACTGAGGTACTAATGGCCCAACAACCTTGTAGATTTCTAGAAGGCAGCACTTCATGAGCCTTCTGATTTTGTTTACATATCTCAGCTATTCAGTGATTTTTGAAAACAAAATCACTGGTAGGGACTAAGAGGAGTTCTGTGGATTACTTAATATTCATAGAATGCTTTGCTTTTTAAAAAGTAAGTAAGTACTATGTGAGAACAAAGCTATCTTGAACATTTGTGTGTTTTTTTTAAAGATTTATTTATTTATGCATACAGAACTGGGGTACAGGCCAGAGGTGTAGGGGTGATGAGAGGATTCACCAGAGACAGAGTGGGGAGCAGAACAGGCCGACTCATTTAGTACACTGCTGAAGGGAGCAGCGGGCAGATCAGGAGAGGTCTGCTGCACCTTGTGGGTCACCTGTGCCATGTGGATCACCTCCCAGGTGGGCATTGTGAAGTGGCTTTAGCTTCTTGGTGCTGCGCTTTAACCTGCTCTGCCACCAGGGAGGGCGGCTATCTTGAGCATTTGTAAAGATCTGTTAGACCTCTGAATTCTTTTTCAACCAAGCGAAACGACAAGTGCTCTGCTTCTGTCACAGATGGCAGTGCAATTTCGTGTTTGTGTTTGCGGCATTGCCCACACTGGTTTTCCTTTAAGGATTCCACAAGGGAGCCACTATAAATGTCTAATAGTGCTTCTGTAAAACTTGGTAATTTTGACCTTTTCACTCAGCCAGTAAAATGAGTTAAATTGCACCCTTTGTGTCTATTAATCCTATTTTTTAAGTATGGGAAGCAAGTAAGAATCCCCTTTGTTAATAGAATTCCTTAATCTACAAAGTAAAATCAAGGCATACAATGTATTAAGAAATTCCAAGTTTTTGTTTCAAATGAAAATAAGTACCTTCATTTTGTGAAATTTGCAGTCTTTATTGGTTACTAACTTTTCTAGGAGTATAGAAGCTATATAAAGAAAATAATACACTGTGGACTATTTCAAGTCAGTATAAATAGTAAAAAATCTATTAAAAATAGTCAGGGTCTAAGAATTACAACCTATAAAATGAAATTAGAGAATAGAATGCTAGCATTTGATCTTTACTGCCTTTTCTGCAAGACTGCTGCAAATCAGTCTTGGCTAGACTGACCTCTTCCTGAATTGGATTCCCACTCTAACTAACAGCTATGTTTTAAAATCACTGGTTTATCTGCTAAAAAATTTAAATTTAATTACTCTAATAATGATATAAAATTAATAACAGAAACATTTATTTCCTTATGAATTAGGGTTATTGACTTTTGGAGAAAACAATAATACTCCACAGTATGTAAAGTGAATGAATTAGTTTCACCTGCAATGATGTTGCGACCATTAGCAGAAATGAATCTTCCTAAAAACACACATGCACAACCCAAATTTTTCTGGTGTAAATTTTTCACATGGGTATGAATTAATCACATCACCCATAGTAACTGGCCAAACAGGAAAAGAATTAAACTGTCAGTCTTAAATACTGTGAGAATGTTAAGATTTATGTCAGAATTTCTTTAAGTGTTATCAAGTAATAGGGCAAAAGCTAGATCAGGAAACAAAAGTCATGCTCTAAAAATCTGCCTCTAAGGACTCACTTGTGCAGACAGCATATTCTCTTATTTGTTCTTACATGTAGTCTTCTGTGCTTGGGGAAAGAAATTGTCTGCTGAAAATAGCTCACATGTGAAAACTACATGTTTTTTTTTTCTTAAAAATAAATTTACATGAACAGTAAATACTTTGCATTAGCTATGCTCCAGAAAACATAAACACTATGAAAATGGAAAGAAAGGATATTTTAAAATGCAGACTCTATGGCATTTGCCTGTGTCCATTCCAGGCTGGGCAAATGGAGAAAAGGAACATTCCTTATCCCAAGGTCTAGGCTGACTTCAGAGGCTGACTTCCCTGACTTCAGAGACAAGCAAGTTTGTATTCCAAACACTGCAATTTAATCTCAGGCTTTCGTTTGTATGCCTTTCTGTGCTAGAATTTTAAGAGTCTCTAAAATTACACTTATTCAATGCACTATGCTGCACCACTATGTACACCTCCAGACTCGAGCTGCCAGAAAGAGAGCATCTGGCTCCTGCCTCTGTTTTCACAAAGAAAAATCAAGGACATGCTATAAAATCATAGGTTAATTGTTTATATATATGTATATATATGTATGTATATATATATATACATATATATCTGTATATATATATATATATATACGCACACACACACACGAAATGTTTTAGGATATATAATCCATTTGTTCTTTACCTAGTGATGCTAATAAAAGTAGGCATTCTCCCTGTGCATTGCTATTTTGGTTATTTGTAGCAAAGTATTTTTGAAAAATACTTTCAAAAATCTTTACTAGATTGTATCTGAATTGCCTATGCCACTATGACTAATTTTATATTTCTTTTGATGTAGGAGTTTAAGGTTATTAGCAAATGTTCACTGAGTCACAAATGAGACCACAATGGTCTAATAAATGTTCTTGGCATCAAGGAATAAGGTAAGTAGAAGAGTTTTGGGCTTTTTACCTCAAAAATTTCTATCAGTTCCACATTTGGTGGGAAAGAGTCCACAATTCACTTGACAAATTAAATTAGTGGTGACAGGGAAATGGTAAAACAGGAAGTTGACTAAGCTGCATGTTTCTGAAGGCAGTGAAGTCTCAGCGCAATTCTCACTGATGCTGAGCTCTCATTTGGAACCTGAAGGCGTTGGCCTGAGGACAAAGATAAAACCTCAACTAGGCTGAGGTAAGCTTTGCAGCACTTATGAAAAAAGACGCAAGAAGCATGTAAAATTCAGAACTTCAAGCTGTAACTGCATACAAGCTGTGTTGGTCAGCAGTCCTCTTTGTCCATCTCTCCCATCTGTCACTTGCTCAAGGTTACAGGAAAGTGGTTCTAATGCCAAATGCATGAAATGAACCCAGGTAGCAACTGCCCTGGACCCATTCTTTTAATTGTATATAAATAAAAATTTAAAATAAGTAAAGTGAAATATCAGTGTACTATTTTTTTTCATGCTTGACCTGCACCCAATTGGACTTAGTGTTAGAGAATTTATGTCTTCCACCAACAAGCATGAGCACACCCATATAGAAATTAATCTCTAAGAAAAAATTATTGAGTTGAACAACTTGACAACTGACTCCACATGAGCTATATTTTTAATATTTGCCTTATATTCTGGCAGAGAATCTTGATCAATGAAAATTGAGAAAAACATGCAGGTGATGGTGCCTAAAGTGTCATTTAAAAAAAAAATTGAATCAGCCCAGACAGTAAAATACAAACTTTATAGTGGAGCCAATGCTTAACAGTTGAGGAAATCAGAGGTGCAGAATTACAATGAGGTTTTGGTCTCAGACATCACAAATCTCACTGCCTGAGAGATTTGAGATAAATAACTGTTATCGGAAGCAGGAATTGACTACAGATGACTACAGATGGGGCACACTGAAATAGAAAGAATCTGCAAATAAAGGAAGAGGTTTTTCTAACATAAAATTCCAGTGAGTGAAGATATAAAAGACACATTAAAGAAATTAAACAAGTTAGTAGGAAAAGTACTGAAAGACTGGTAATTGCTATCATTAAAATATGGATTCCAATGATGTAACTGAAGATGAATAAAAAGAGACACTATCAGTACAAGAAGTTTTCTGGAAAAAAAAAAAGGAAAGAACTAAATCTGTTGATAGCAGTAAACTACATAATGCAGTCTGAATAAAGAGAAGAATTGTCCACACAGAGAAAATAACTGAGCTCATTAACAAAGATGGAAGAAGGACCTTTATCTTTGCATTTAGACACAGGAGGACTAGAGAGGCAAATGTAAACATTCAGTATTTGGACAACATTCAGTATTTGGACAACATGATAACTAAATAAAAATCCTAAGGTTATGAGAAGTAGAGATGGGAGACATCTGAATACTGAAGACTTTATTATCTTTTACAGCACACTGATTTAATACCATAAAATTGAAAAAACAAGTTGTATAAAGTATTGTGATCCCAATCTTTAATGGTGATTATAATTTATTTTCTTAATTTAAGAGAGATCTTTTATTTCTCTTGTGGATTTAGAATACCTTTTGGTATATTAAATCATTTTTGGGAATTCAATAATTCTTTCTCTTCTGTTTTAGTTTTTCTTGTGACAAATTCATGTGAATTGAAATAAAATTTTGTGTATTATATTGACTATTAGGTGGTCACCTGTTTAAAATATATAATTATTCTTCCAATCACAATTATTTTTGCCAGAAAAATGTCTGGAATGATTGTCAGGTAAGTTATTATTTTTACTTTAAAACAGTCAATGATCTATAAGAAGACAATGATGTGTATAAAGTAGGAATAACTCTCATGACCATTTATATTTAATGACTTACTCTTTCTGGTGTTCCTCATTCCTTTCTATAGAACTACATGTCTCTGATTTCTCTTATCATTTTTTCCCCTTTAGCCTACAGATGCTATTTCCCATAGTTCAGATTTGTTGTTTGTTGGAAAATTGTGTGCACTTTTATTTT